CGTAAGTCGATATAGTTCCTATCTAAATCGAAATTTTCTGAGTTAGACAAAATCTACAGTATCAGGAAGAAATGTCGAAAAAATTTTCAAAAACAAAACTGCTTCACTTTTTGAAAATTAAAAAAAAAGGAATACTGTAAAATATTGATGTCCCAAACAGTTTGTGAAACATTGAACAGTTTTTAAACGAATCGTTAAAACTATAATAAGTATACAAGTTTAAAGTTTGACAATTTTGAAAATTTCGAAGTTCAGAAGTTGAAAATTTTGTAAATCCCAACAAAAAAAAGTACTGTTCCAAAACCAAGATTTATCAAGAACTTGGAAATTTTGCCCGATTCCGAGCAGTTAAAACTATCTTAATCAAAATTTTCAGAGTTAGTCAAAATCTACAGTATCAGAAAAAATTTCAAAAAAAAAATTTTTTTACTCTTCCAATTGAATGAAATAGAAAATGAAATATCCTTTCTTTCATCTCCTTTTTCTAGTTTCTTTGACTATTTTCCATTAGTTTAGAGCTTCTTTCCACTCTATCCTCATTAACCCAATTCTTTTCTTTTTTTTCCTTTACTTTTTACATTTTTTTTTCGAGAAATTTCGAGAAATTTATTTGTGAAGGAAGAAATGGAAAACATTTTAATTAGTACTGGAAGAATTAGGAAGAATTGGATTGACTAATGGAATTGGAACTTTTTCCCTTTTTTTGGAAATTTTGAGAGAAAAAAAACGTTTTTAGAGACCTAAAACTTTACTGTTAAAAAAATAAATGGTGATATTAATTGCAAAGTAAATTTTACAAAAAATTTCATTTCTAGGTGAAACTGGAAAATATTTTTTAGGTAAATTTCGGAAGAGAACATTTTGAGGTTTTTCAAATTTCCAAATATTCAACATTAGCCTCTCAAAAGATGCTTCGTTGACAATTTAGAAAATTTTCTTTTATGTACAGTGGCGAGAAGTGGTGAGGAGAATTTTTTCGAACATTCATAACTTTGTTCAAAATAGCTCAATTGACTTGAAACTTTGCATGAGAATAGCTGTAAAACCCGAAAACATAAAAATCGGGTTTTTGAAAATTTCTCATTTCCAGAATTTTCAGAGCAGTTTCAGATGTAACAGTGGTCCGAGAATCCAAAAAAAAAAATGTCAAGTGATTCCCAGCGTCCAAATATGTACCAAAAAAGTTGTGAAGAGTTTTGGAAGCCGGGCTCTCGAGTTATGATACTCAGAGCACAAAAGGTATGTTTTTACCATAACTCAGCTGAAAATTTTTACCATAACTCAGCTGAAAATGCATTTTTGATGCTCAAAATCTCACAAATGATGTGTTTTGAGTTGTTTATTAGTTTTTTGTTAATAGTTTTAATTGTAGAAAAAAATTTCATTTTTTTCACTTCTAGGGAAAATTTCTAAAATCTAAAAATGAGAAAAAAATTTTTTACAATTGAAAAGCTTTTGACATAAAACTGATAAACAACTCAAAACACATCATTTGTGAAATTTTGAGCATCAGAAATACATTTTCAGCTGAGTTATGTCAAAAAATACGACCCATACCTTTTGTGTCGGCTTCCAAAATTCTTCAAAACTTTTTTGAAGCATATTTGGACACTGAGAATCATTTGACATTTAAAATCAAAACCAGAAAAATTCTGAAAAAATTTTTTTTTGGATTCTCGGACCACTGTTACATCTGAAACTGCTCGGAAAATTCTGAAAATGAGAGATTTTCCAAAAACCGATTTTTATGTTTTTGGATTTTACAGCTATTCTCTTGCAAAATTTCAAGTCAATTGAGCTGTTTTGAACAAAGTTATGAATGTTCGAAAAAATTCTCCTCCCCCTTCCACACTTCTCGCCGCTGTAACTTATCAAGATTTTAATAAACTGAACTGGTCAAAGTAATGTGTTGAAACTGAAATTGTTTGTTGAAATTTTTGAAAAAATGCTGAAAAAAATAAATTTCTGTAAGAAGTTCTTTTATTTTAGAAAAAACATGGTGGGCGTTTTCAGAATAAAATCTTCATAGCTTCCAAAGTTTTCACAAAAAAAATAGTTTTTAGGTTTCAACTAAAAGTTAAAAAAATTTTTGAAATTTACATTTCGATAGATCGTCTGAAGTCCAAAATATTTTTATCAGTGTTTTTTTGGTCCCAAACAATTTTTTTTTCTAAAACTTGTGTTCTTTCTATCAGAGTGTTACTATGTAAGATATTGTTAAAGGAGGCCAGACACCAAAAAAGTTTTCCTGATATTTTGCATAGAGAACCCCCATGAGGGGTTGAACTCATGACAGGCAGCTCAGGGGTACAGCACCGCTACCGGCTGAGCTACGGGGGCGCGAAGGCGCCTGACGACCGATGGTCTACATAAGCGCGGCGCGGTTTCGTCCCCCGAACTGTCCCCGAAATTTTCGCTGTCTCGCCTCCTTTAATTGAGTGGTGAAACACACATTTTTCTCATTAAATCAGGGTTAAAGAAAAGAATCATCACTTCGAATTTTTTCCAATAATTTTTAGAAAAAAATAGAAAAAAAAAACATTTTTTGGTCCCACCACGACAATAAGTCAAAAATCAAAATTTCCGAAAAATTGTCGAATGGGATAAAAAGTCGTGGGAAAAAGATGGAAATCTTCTTCAAATACTCCAGAAGAAGGAGGGAATTATTTGGCATTCAGATTGAGGAAATTGAATTTGCATTTCATTATTTTTTTCGGGAAAAAAGGAAAGAAAAGTCGAAAATTTCCGTCTGAGCTTTTTCGGAATCAATTCGAAGGGCATTTTTGCATATGAAAAGAGCTAAAAATGGGGAGAAATTGTCAATGGAGCGCGTTTGCAGACTTTGAGTGAAATGAGGTTCAATAGAGCGCGTTTGCAGCTTGTGGGACATATTTTTGGAGAATTTGTCGAACTAGGATTGAAGGATTGAAGGGATTCAGCTTCCGAAAAATGAATTTCTAGGAACAGGAAAAATTAATTTTTCAATAATGAAACTTTCAAAATGTTTAACTTTTGTACACTGGGGCATGTTTGCACAGTTAGAGCGAATAGGAGATTTTACAATGGAGCGTAAATGGAAATTGAAGAATATCGAGGATAAAAATTTATCATTGGAGCGTAAATACTGAATTTTTGAAGCAGAATTTTTTTCACTGGAGCGAGTTTTCAATGATTACAACAAAAATTTGAGGGATCAAGTTTTGAGTTATCCTCATTTATACAATAAAATTTTTTCAATTTATATTGCCAGATTTTCAACGAAAATTTCAATTTTTTGAGGAAAATTTAAACTTTTTACTTTTTTTCGGATTTCTTTCTATTTTTCATGAAAAATCCTTTTGTGTAAGCTTGGAATCTATGATTTCGATTTTTATTTTTACTAATTCCCATCGTTTCGACTTCTAAAACCGATAAAAATTCTGTTTTTCAACTGAAAATGATTTTCCCTTCTTTGTCCTTCTTTTTCAAACTCCCCCGCTTTGTCTCCCTCTGTCTTCTCTCCCGGCCTCCACTTTCTCCTCCCTAGCCGTGGAGCGCGCTTGCGCGCTCCTCAGTTTTTATATTTTTTCACAGCAACTTTTTTTAAATTTTTCAACGATTTCAAAAGGATTTTTCTGAGATTTTTTTACTAAAAACCGTTAAAATAACATTTTTATCACTAAACTTCACGGTTTCTTATCAAAAAGTCATGTGAAAAGGTCTTATCTAACAGCCAGCTGAGTAAACATTGAAAAGTGATAAAAGTAACTGGTCTAGAAGGACAATAGAGAAGAAAATAAATGAAAAATCATGAAAAAATTAAAAAATTCAAGATGAATATTTTGAAAATCGAAGAAAAAGGGTTTCTGAACTCTGAAAATGGAAAAAAATCTGAAAATCCCGATTTTTCAAAAATAAAAAAGCCAAAAAAAGAGACATAAACGATAAAGAAAGACAACTAAAATCAATCCAGGATAATCCCAAAGAGCCTTTTTCTGTGTGCCAAAATCGCATTTTTCTCTCGCCCCTCCAAATTTTTTCCCTTTTTTCCGATTTTTTATTTTTCCCCGAGAGCTAGCTAGGCTAGGTGAAAATTGTTTGTATATCGTACATCGCTCTCTGTAGAAATATGAGGTCTCTAATATATTTTTTTTTCGGCGAAAAAATTTTTTCAAGTGGAGAGAGAGAGCCCCTCGGAGCCATTGTTTGCACCCGGCGGTGGCTCGGTGGCTCGGCGGTTTTGTTGATTTTCGGGGGAAATTTGAATAAGGGAAATTATGAAAATTTAGACAGAAAAATTGATTGTTAACAGTGATTTTGAAAAATTCGAAAAAAAAATTTTTTCGAATTTTTTTTCTGCGAAAAAAATCGCTTTTTGGCCGTGAAAAACTAGGAAAAGATGATTTTTTGTGAAAAATTTGAATTTCGTGGTAGAAATTTCAAGTTTGGACCACAAAATCGCCAAAAAACCCCAAAAAAAACCAATTTTTCTGACCAATTTTCTTCATTTTTTTCTCAATTTCCTGTATTCATTTTTTCAGGTTTTCTCCGATTTTTTTTGCTTTTTTATAAATGAAAATAAAGATTTTTTTCTTCTGATTTTCCCATATTTTATGTCATTTTTTTCTTCATTTTCCCATAATATTTTTTATCGACTTTTCTTCATTTTTTGACGATTTTTCAGCAAAAAATTCGTCACAAATTCAGATTTTTCTTGTCAAAAAGTTTTTGTTTTTCGAAAAAATTGATTATTTGCCCATTTTTTCTGTTTTTTCTCATTTTTTGGCGAAATTTTTACGATTTTTATTATTTTGAATTGTTAGAAAAAATTTCAAATTTCCGATTTGAAAATTTTGGAATTTCTGAAAATTTCTTGTTTTTCATCTATTTTTTCGAAGTTTTTTCTCCATCTTCCCCTTGAAAAATTCCTCAAAAATTTTCGATTTTCGCTAATTTTTCAAATTTTAAGTCTACATTTTATCAAAAAATTCACATTTTTCCAGGTAAACAGGCCAATAGATATGGCAACATGTCTATTCCGTGTCCGTCAATTGCTCATTATTAGTGGACTATGTGTTTCTGTTTATTTTTTATTGAGTACACTGAAAGTTGGCTATCCGACACCAGATGACGCGTCGTTCTTGAGTCGTGCCGAGCGATATAAAGAAGAGGTTTTAGATGAGGTACCGGAAAGAAAATTTAGGGCAAAAAATATCGATTTTGGATATGAAAAATTGTAAAAATCAGCGAAAATAGTTTAGGAAATGGTGGAAAATGAGAATTTTTGAAAAAATTGAAAAAAAATAGAATTTTTCAAAAATTAAAAAATCAGGATAACGACCGGAAACAATGATTCAGTGATGTGAAAATCCTAAAAATTAGTGAAAAACAGCCTAGAAAATTGAAAAATTTTGAAAAAAAATTTCAAAAAAAAATATTTATTCGAAAATTCAAAATTTTGAAATTTGGCTGAAAATAGTGCTTAAGAATGAAATTAATGATTTTTGATGCAAATATCGTATAAATTTGTGAAAATTGTCATAAAAATTGAAATTCGACAAAACGAAAAATATAAACAAAAATTTTTTTAGCTAAAAATGGGGTTTAGGGCTGAAATTTTGGGGGTTTGATGCGAAAAATCGGTAAAAATCATAATAATAATAATATATTTATTTGCAATGCATGGGGGAAATCGATAGATAATTTGGCAAGAAATGGGACCAGCTAAAAATAGTACAGGTAATCGTAGAAAATGAGAATTTTCTTAAAAAAAATTGAAAAAATTAAAATTCGAAAAAAAGTTTTTTGGAGAATCGAATGGCTGAAATGTCTCAAAATGGATTTCCTTGTCGAAAAATAAAAATCTAAAAAAACAATTTTTTTTTTTTTAATTTGAAAATTTCAAAAGTGTGTAAAAGAGCTGAAAATAGCTATAAAGGGTATTTAGGGCTCAAAATTTTGGTTTATAATGCGGGAAATCGTAAAAATCAGCAAAAATAGCCCTAAAACTAATTACCAAAATTGAAAAAATTGGAATTTTTCGAAAAAAAAATTTTTTTTTTCGGAAATTTGAAAATTTTCAAAAATGTCTGAAAATAGAAAAAAAAGGGATTTCAGGGTAAAAATTGATCATTTTTTAAGCAAAAACCGTTAAAATCAGGTCGAAATAGCTTAAAAAATGGTTACAAAAAATAATATGAAAAATGCGAATTTTCAGAGAAAAAATCTGAGAAAAAGCTTTTTTCAAAAATAGCTGAAACTGGGGGTTATGACTGAAAGGGTTTTTTGCTGTGAAAAATTGTAAAAATCAGCGAGCCTAGGAAATGGTGGAAAAATGAGAATTTTGAAAAATTGAAAAAAAAAATCCAAAGAAATTCAAAATTTCACCAAAATTTCAAAATTTTGAGATCATTTTGTTTTCCAGAATCCAATAAAAGTGAAATCCCAAAAAAAAATTTTTTTGAAAATACGAACTTCTTGCTGTGAAAAATCGAAAAAATCAGCTAAAAATAGCCTGGAAAATGGTGAAAAAAATGAGATTTTTCAAAAATTGAAAAAATCTAAAATTCAAAAATCCAAAGAAATTCCAATTTTCACCAAAATTTCAAAACTTTGAGATCATTCTGTTTTCCAGAATCCAATAAAAGTGAAGTCCCTGCACAGTGATCGCGATCGTGACCACCAATCATCGTCAGGTGGCTCAAAACCATCAGAAGATTTACTGAAAAATCAAAAATGCAACATCCCGAAACTAGATATCAACGGGTCGGAAGTCATTCATTTCTTCACCAAACACGCTCCACTGGAATGCCAGAAATCGGGAAAAATCGAGGATAATTGGGTGTTTATCAACGATGAAGGCGTCATTCGATTCACTGAAAAACGCGTCAAAGCTAAATGCAAAATTCAATATTTCGAGCGAATTGATGATAACAAAAATCGATATGAGGAGCCGGTGGAGATTTTTGGTACGAAAAAGTTCGAAAAAAAAAATTTTTTTTGAAAATTTTTTTTCCGATTTTTCGATTTTTTTCAACCTAAAAATCGCTTCTTTCCAGACGGCGACAAAATGAACGGTAGCGACTACGCTACAGTATCCTGTATTCAAGGCTTCCAGAAGTGGAATTCCCTCCTTTGGGATGTGAATGACGTGGCAGAGGTGCACGAGAGAGCACGAAAAATGAGGAGAACCGAGGAGACGAACGCGGAGAAGAAGGCCTATAATGTCTACTTTTTGGGGTATGGGTGGCCTAAATTTGGGTTTTCTAGGCCACCATGTTAGATGACCTAGAAATAGCCTGTCATGGGCCTGGTGTGTTTTCTAGGCCATTTTGACATGGTAGCCTAACTTTTGCATTTTGAATTTTCTAGGCCACCATGGTAAATGGCCTAGAAAACGCACCAGTCGAATGTTAGACAATTTCTAGGCCTTAAACTTCAGTGGCCTAGAAATCGCAACGTGCAAAAGTTAGGCCACCATAGTGAAATGACCTAGAAATGGCCTGAATTGCACGTGGTGCGTTTTCTAGGCCTTTTTATCATGATGGCCTAACTTTTTTTGAGATTTCTAGGCCACGGTAATAAATGACTTCTAGAAAACGCATGCGGTGACTTCTAGAAAACGCATGCGGTGATGGCCTGGAAAACTCAACTTGCAAAAGTTAGGCCATCATGGTAAATGGCCTAGAAATGACCTAATATTCATCTGGTGCGTTTTCTGGTGGCCTAGAAAATTCATTTTGAGAAAACTAGGCCACGATGTTAAAATGGCCTAGAAAACGCACCAGTAAAATGTTAGACAATTTCTAGGCCATAAACTTCAGTGGTCTAGAAAACTCAATGTGCACAAATTGAGTTTTCTAGGCCACCATGTTAGATGACCTAGAAAACGCACCAGGTGAATGCGAGACCATTTTTAGGTAATTTACCTTGATGGCCTAGAAAACTCAGCTTGCAAAAGTTAGGCCACCATGTTGAAATGACCTAGAAATGACCTAATATTCACCTGATGAGTTTACTAGGCCACCATGGTAACTGGGCTAGGAATGGCCATGTTTTCTAGTCCATTTTAACCTGGTTGCCTAACTTTTGCAAATTGAGTTTTCTAGGTCATTGTCAGCCTTATTTCAGCAATTTCAACTGATAAACATTCCAGATTCGACTCCTTGTCTCAAATGTCATTCCGTCGAAAACTTCCAAAAACTGTGGATTTTCTGGAAAACACTCTGGGAAGTGTAGTTTTGAATGGATATAACATTGTTGGAGACGGCACACCACAAGCATTTATTCCAATTTTAACAGCACAAACTGAAACTGAACTTCCTCTGACTAGAAAGAGATACAAGAAGGCGAACTATGTCGATGACGTGTATCCGTTCATTTGGAGAAACTTTTCGGATCAGGGATATGTCACAATGTATGCAGAGGATGCGTTTAATATTGGTGAGGGATGCGATTTGGAGAAAATTACATTTTTGACGTTTTAGAACTTTTTGGACGTTTTAGAACTATTGGGACGTTTTAGAACTTTCCGGACGTTTTAGAACTTTTCGAACGTTTTAGAACTTTTCGAAAGTTTTAGAACTTTTCGGACATTTCAGAATTTTTCGGGACGCTATATAACTTTTAGTCTTTTGAAAACTTTTCTGACGTTATAGAACTTTTCGGACATTCTAGAACTTTCAAGACATTTTTGAACTGTTTGGACGTTTTAGAACTTACCGGACGTTTCAGAAGGTTTCAAAACTATTCAGAACTTTTCGGACGTTTTAGAACTTTTTGGATTTTCAAAATATTTTTGACATTTCAGAACTTTCCGGACGTTTTAGAACGTTTTGGATGTTTTAGAACTATGCTTGAAATGCGTTATTTTTTCATGGTTTTTCCATTCAAAACCATTGATTTTGAAGCAAGTTATGGCAGTTTTGAACCTGTGGCCTAGAAACCCACATTTTGGATTTCTAGGCCACCAAACTTTAATTGATCATAACTAGCTTCAAAATCGATGGTTTTGAATGAAAAAACCATAGATATAAAGCAAATTTCTAGCACTACCTGTACGATAAAAATGTGAACTCACTAGGGTTCAAGCGAAGGGGTCAGAAAAGGCGCCCCAGCTAACTCGTAGGCCAGAAGAAATTTAATAATTTTAAAGTGGACGCAGGTTTGATCTAGATGATGATCTATTTCTTGAAAAGCAACGGGTTGCAACGCGCACTTTTTCTCTCAACGTTTAAAACGGCGATCCTGAGCCAATTTAGAATTTTTCCTAAATTTACTGGGGCGCGCATTTTGGCCCCCTCGCTTGATCCCAAGTGTGAACTCCATGTGCCTTTAAATTATATAGATTTCCAGGAACCTTCACTTATCGACTGAAAGGATTCAGGAAACAACCAACTGATCACTACACACGGACACTTTTCGAGGAAGTCGAGAAATTGAACGATAGGAATTGTATTGGAAGTATTCCATTGCACAGGGTGAGTGGTTTTTCATGTTTTTTAGGCCATTTTGACATGGTGGCCTAACTTTTGCAAGTTGAGAAAACTAGGCCACCACGGGTAAATGACCTAGAAATAACCTAATATTCATCGAAATTGTTCACTAGGCCATTTTAACATGGCGGCCTAGAAAACTCCACTTGCAAAAGTTAGTCCATCACGTCAAAATAAGCTAGAAAACGCACCAGATGAATATCAGGTCATTTTTAGGCAATTTAACATGGTGGCCTAACTTTTGCAAGTTAAAAATTCTAGGCCATCACGTTAAAGTGATTTAGAAAACACGACAGAGTCAT